TTAGAATAGAATAGAATAGAATAGAATAGAATAGAATAGAATAGAATAGAATAGAATAGAATAGAATGACTTCCACGTTACTGTTTTTAATTGAGCCAAACCATGCTTTCTGGAATTTAAAACCTTATCTGTAAACAGTTAGTCACTACAATTACCTCGCAGTGAATATAATTTATAGTTTACAGTGGACTTTTCTGCCCTGCGGATATTTAATGATATTTTCCTTGTGACCTTCGGTGATGTTCAATATATGTAACATTATTTACAGTTTGATAAACTATTGTAAAAAATGTGGAAATTGAAAAAAAGGCACAATAGAAATGTTCTTTCAATTGTTTAGGTCAATAGACTAGATAACAAAAGATTGCTGCATTTAATCAACTTTTTTATGGAGACGATCTGAATTTGTAATTATGACGAATGATACACGCATTATTTATCACTTCACGACCCCGTTCCAATTGCAACATGTTTATTTACCAATCCGTATGAATTAATTTTCATTTGAATTCAGATTGTCTGGACTACAATTCATATTGTTCAAATGTGTTTAATATTACAAAATATCTAAACCAACAAGTGACCAACTTGTGTATGTTAAGGCTAGTATGGGTATATGTTGATGTTTATTTATTTTTGTAAATTGACTAACAGGGAAAAACTTGTTACGACTAAAATAAGACTAAAGTTAATAAAACCTGTTAATATCTAAAAAAAAAATATCTATCGAATCGTGTTTAAATCTATAATAATATGGAAAGAAAGAACACCCAGTCTCATATACAAGAAGGGAATTGTAGATAAAATAATATACAAACATTTGCACGCGGAATTTGCAGACATAACCTGTAATGAAGAAGGCAAACTTCACTACATAATGGTGAATAGTAACGCGACGATTATGGAGCATCTTTTTTCGGTCATAATAATGTTATGAACTGCTTGTTGTCGACACGATATCGTTGTGTTGTCAACTGATTAACATTAATGACTACTGCTCACTAAAGATATACTTAGGTCAACTTAGAACCATCAGCAAACATCTAAATATCTAAAACATCTATTTTATATAGTGTGGTAAGTCATTAACGTGCAGCAATGGACACAGAACTGCTAACTCCATGTCAGTCTTATAGTGTACTGTCAAAGTCAAAAATAGAGTGACCACCCTCCCTCATGACCCCTCCCCATACTGTTGTAACTGACTGGTTCACTTAAAGTAAAGAACGTATGTATTCATAGTTTATGTGGACCACATACAATACAATGGATGACGTGAAAAACACGTGATGTTTAAAAAGTTAAGGAGAATACTTATATAGGATTAACATTACATATAATGTTGTGTACTGTGGAAGGCTGACTAGTCTAGACGCATTGTAAATTGTATAGCTGTACATTACAGATACATGAGTATGTCTATGTACTGTGAATTGCATACAGTCTCTTGTTTCGCGGTAACCAGGCCTTCGTGATAGCCCGGCTTACGCCATTTATGCACTCACATAATATTTTATCGAAAAACAAACAAACAATAGACTGTATGCAAGTCTAAATTGCTAGCAGCCGTTGAATCATATGCATAAACCTCATACAAAGTATATGCTGTGAGGGATACTTTGTTATTGTATGGCACAGCGATTTATATATATATGCAGGCTATTCAAATAATATATGGTCTATCTAATTTTGAAATACAGAAATGGCTACAAGCTAAACTTAACATACGTTGTTCCTTATCTTTATGCCCATCGCTCTACCGTCACTCGTGTGACTTGCTGTACAATAATGTGGTGCGAACATTCAATGACCACGAAATCTCGTGAATATCTGCGATACATGTAACAGAAAATTATATGGTTCAACGACTATATTGAATAATACATATTCCGCTGTCGCCTATGGAAGATCAATGCGTGTACGCTATTCATTTGGAGTGGTGGTTTTTGACATGGCAAAATACCGCCAGGTTATAAGACTATCTTGATTACGTTAATATTTGGTATTGAATCGGACATAGCAATAAGTGGCCATTCAGAGTATGTTTACAATTACAAGATTAAAACATGAATACCATATTGAAGTTTGAACAAGGCTGGGTAGCCATTCCGAGATTATAAGCGCAGCATATTCTCCATATGCCGCTTTACTGAGAATATTATTTGTTGGTTTAATCGGTATTCCCACGTATGAAGTCACTGTATTCACGTTTTTCATTCTGTGTAACTTTCTCAGATTTTCGGTCAACAAAATGTCTGTGTTAGTTACACGTCGGAAATGTAATGTTGATACGGCGAATCGCTGTACGGACTACTAGCCATGGTTT